AAAAAACAAAAAAAAAAAGCTCGTACGGGGTCCCCAGCACACGAGTACCGTACGAGTACAAGAATACGAATCCGTACTCGTACGAGAGTGCGTACAAGTGGCAACGCAGCCAGGGTGGCGGTCATAAAAAAAGTCAGGGTCGAAAATAAAAGTGTTCCAGAAGATCACCAGTCCATCGAATCGACTTGTGATTGTGCGTACCACAAACTTCACGACCATCGACGGTTGGAACTGGCTCCTGGATTCTATGACCTCGACACGAGCCCTTCCAAAGGAAGGGTGAACTGAAAGGTGTCGCCTCTGCCTGGAGGAGTGGGGACTTCGGGAGGGAGCCCTCCCGACGGTGGAGGGGATGGGCACAACGACGAAGGGACTAACAAAGGGCGCCCGCGTAGTGGAGACGGTGGGCCTCATGATGTGGGCACGGGGACAGAAGGCGGCGAAGGGGTGGGGGGGGGAAGGTGTTGGTCAACATCCGTATGGGGGTTCCTGTCCAGTCCAAGAGTTGAAATCCGTTGAGATCCGAACTTTGACGTGCGAGAAATCGTTTCGTGGCTTGACATGGCGTCCGCCAATCTCATCCACAGTCAAACCCTCCAAGTTCGTCGAGATCCATAATTCACCGGTTCATGTGCCAGGGCGAGATTTAGCACTGGAGCGCGAATTGTGGGAAGGTGTGTCTAGCCAGGACACCGTGTCGAAGTCTGCCGGTATTCACACTTCAATGGGAGGTGGTCTTTCGTCTGCAATTGCTGCTGCACGGGGCGGAACTCCGTCGGTTAATGAGGAGGGGCGAGCAGCGACAATTGAGAAAGTGTCCTGAGTTGAAGCGTTTGCCGACCACGAAATGTCGAAGTCCGTCGAGATCCATACTTCAATTTGAAGGGGGTCTTCCAGCGGACATTACTGACTCAGAGGTCGCAGGAGGAGATCCATCCGCCGAAGCAGAAGGGCGATCATCCACGTTCGATATGGGCTCAGGCGAAGGGGGTGAAGTGCATGAAGGGGACGCAGGGGATGGAGGGGAAAAAGCAGAAGAGGGTGATCTAAAGGGGATTGATGAAGTGGATGAGAGGGGCGAAGGGGACTAAGCAAATGTGGAGGATGTAGTGGATGAAGGGGAAGAAATA